ACCAGTGTAGAGATACAGTTGTCGCATGTTAGGACAAGGAATTTAAGCCTCAAAAACCTGAGGTCGTATGAGAAGATCCTAGTGAAATGCTGCCTGTCCTCCCTGAACACATGGGCTATAATATACGTCCAGAGACCAAATGGTTTATTGCACAGTCTAGTTCCAGTGGGATGACTGGACAGACATCACGATGGCAGAATCTTTGAAGCATCTACTGTTTAGTCCCAGTGCTGGAAAGGGTTAAAGCAGAAAGTGCTGTCAGTTCCCAATGGTCCACATTTCAGTCCAGGTTACCTGGAGGGATATTACCAGCTGAACTCCATACTAGTAGGATGATTTCCTTTGGAGACCAGGGTCAGGTAAAGATCAAAGGTAGCCTTAAGCAACTGTTAAATGATCAAAGTCCCCAGTGTACTCTAAGACTGAATCAGGTTGCCTTTAAAATTCTTCATCCTCGAAGACAACAGCTCTATCCTCTTTATATAAATGTAAGGCCATGAGACAGTAAAGTGCTATTTCTATAGGCATTAGTTCCACCTTATATATTAAAAAGGTATTTGTTGTGCCCTAATCACTCCAGGTCCAGGATCATAAGGGACCTTGTTTCTTGGTGGGAGGCTGGAGTGTGAAAGGTTACTTAGTCATCACTAGCCTCTAGCCATGCTGGAACACCACACATGGGGCTCCTCAAACAGGAAGTCAAAGCCAGGCCTGACCTCTGGATGAACTCAGTGCATTTTCAGGCAAGGGGCCTGATGAATCTCTGGGGACAGTGCTGCTCTGCACCTCTGTGTCTGTCTGTGTGTGTTTACTCCTCCTTGTGCATGTGTGGAGGTGGGTGGTACTGGAGGGAAGGAGGGTGTGAAGGTTCTGGATAATTATGAAAATTAGATCTTTTATAGCAGCCTTCAAGCTCAATTTGGGCTGACAGCTCATGAACAGATCATCTGAAGTCTTAATAGGCCAATGCTGGTTCAATAGTTGTATGGTTAAATCATGTGCATTTGTGCCACAGCTGACACAGAAAGCAGACCCACATGCCTCAGAGGGATCCTGTGGACGAGGCTATATTTAATGTTCTTCCTCTCTGGGGAAGATGGAACAAAGCAAAGCAACACACATCTAAAATCATGCTTAAAACTTTTGTCAGCCAAAGAAATATCCCAGCATTCTTTTTACTATAAAACATCTAGTAGTCAAAATTAGACATGATTAATAAGCCACCCTAAATACATTTACTACTGATGTCTTTCCAAAATATTTTTGAATCCAGCAGTCACAGATATTATCTTCCACATTGCTTATATTCAAAACCAACTGGTTGGGTCAGGGTGGAAGATTTTTACCCCATTTTTTAGTTACCTGTTCCCAAAGCACCGACTCCTATCATCCAGACTTTGTAGCAGTTTTGGAAAATGATGTCAAGATATCAAGGCCCCTGACACATCCTGAATTCTGTAAGAATGTGTTTCCTGAATATTCCTGATAATGGCTTTAGTACTAAAGAGGTTACTGAGACCAAATGGTTTCTTGAGGTGGGGTAAGGCAGCATTTCCTGCTTGAAGGAGAATTGAGCAGAACAACATTATAAGCATTTTCTTCTTACTTTTCTATGTTTGCAGTAACACAGTTTTGCAGTTTTGCATGGAGAAAAGGATAAAACAGTATTGCTAACCTGCCTGGCATCTGGCTTCCAGCAGGGAGAGAGGCTCATCCACCTCACCCCTCAGGCTTCTTTAACTGAATTAGCCGTATTAAGTGCTTTGGTAGCCCAGGGAATGAATGTCGTCGATCAGTGCCTGGGAAGGCATGTTTGGAGGGTATAATTCTGCCGGAGGAGAATGGACTCCCCAGCACATGGGCCTAAACTGCAGAGTAACAGAGCCCTAAATCTCCAGTTGCAGATTTACAGCCTCCATTCTCCTTCTTTACTGCAAATACAATCCGGCAGTAATGGTCTAACACAGCAACACCATCACCAACTGGCTGATGGCTCGCATAAAAGCAATGTCAACCAAAAACTATGAGTTTATAAAAGGGAACAAACCCTCAACAGTGACAAGAACATGAAACCCATTAACAATTTAAACACTCTCCATTTTTTATTTCCCACCTTGAAGCTATTATTGCTGATAGAAGGCTTCTCAGTGGAGCTAACCACTGCAAGGGAAGGTTAGGAAGCTAGCTAACTCCTCAGACAGGAGGTTATGTGGTGTGACGGTATGGTTTGAACCTTTGTTAACAGGAACATCACCTGGTAACCTGCAGCTCAAAAGAAGGCCTCAGAAAACCGCAGGTGTGATAGATTCTCCTGTAATCAGCCTATCAAATCATTCTTGGGAATCACACTGAATAAATATGGTTGGGATTAGACTTTCTAATTCGTTGACCATGCCAAGAACTTGGGCCTACACTGCAGGAAGAATGGTGGAATATTTTTTTGGAGGAACTTCTGAAGAAATCAAGGACCCAATCTTGGCGTTACATTCAACATTCATGTGAGGTTTTATTTCAGTCATAGCCCTAATCCTTGAAAGGAGCATTGTCACTGAATATTTCCACTCTGTGAACTGACTACACCTGGTCTATGATGTTAAATATAACTCGTCACATATTACTCCCTTCCAGTCTTCAGAAAAGCTGAAATGAAGATAACGAATTTTAACTAACTTGTCCAACATACCTACAATAGAACTCTCCCTTAAAAAAATACTACCATGGACTTCTTTGGGGGAAAAATGCTTGAGAAAGCCATCCTCTCTCCCTCCCCCTCCCACTGAAAGTAAATATAAAACTTTAAGTAGGTATTTAAGTCCATCATCAGTGATTCATCCCAAAATAAAAAATTTTCCTTCTGTTCTTCAAATCAGACAAGCCCAATGGCAATAGAAAAGTCATTTTCTTCGTTATTTTGAGATTTTGTGTATGTAATTTGGTAAACAATTCATCTTTCAGAAATAGAATCTTGCACTGAAGAGGAATAAAACTGTTTTTGCAAAGGAAAAATAAGGGTATGTTGAATATGGTCACATATATCCACATAAATAGTGCCAAATGAAGTTAAAGCTCCTGATTTACATACATTGTGCTGATTATTTGAGCAATTTAATATAAAATTTAATCTATACTAATGGGCCTACGGGAAGGACAAATAAAACTGAGAAATAAATAATTATTTTGCAGTAAAATGAGTACCATCAATATATATGAAAGCACAGGTTTCAGTGATGCACAAGATATTGTATTATATGAATATTCTCATAGTTTTGGCATTTTAAAAATTCATTACTTCACAAAAGAATATCATCTTATCTACAGGCTCTCTCACCTTGGGCTAGATATAAGAAAGAGATCATTTCATGCTGCTTTTGTTACATGTACATAGACGTGAGCTGAGCAAACATTACTGCACCTGTTGTTTTTAAGTGTCTCCTTCTCCAAGAAAAAGAAAGGAAAATCACTGAGGAGAAAGAAAATAAGAGGAGAAGGAACGAACCAAAGAAAGAAGGAACTAACCAAAAAAAGTTATTTTTCCCCCCCAGTGGGCAAGGAAATCAAGCAACAGTAATCCTCATTAGAATAGTGTTAGAAATGGTTAGCCTTAATGCCTGATAATGACCAGCGCTAATATGGTTTTGCTTTCAGTGTGGGTAACGTTTATGGAAGTAGTAGAATGCATGGCAGCTTTCTGGACCTATACAATCAGCTCTAAATGAAGTCTTTTCTCCAGCTTGAGTCATAACCATAAATACTGCCCCATCCCCACATTCCAGTAACAAAGTCCTTCCTTCCTCCCGAGCCCCCAAACAAAGGGGACAGCAGCATGTTTGGTGGGAACATCTTGAAATAAGATATCGCTCCCCAAATGGAAGGAAGTCACAGGGGAGATTGACGCCATAAAGGCAGTTCTATCCTATTGAAACGCCAGCAGATGGGGTCATAAACATTTCCTTCTCCCCTTGCTAACAGCCACCGAGTCAGCTTCATCTTTATCTTTATCTTTATCTTCCTGTCAGGTCATAAATACCTCTCACTCAAGCCTCACGCACAGCTGGGCCATGCCAGGCAAGTTTACTTCCTGTTAAGGGTTCATTTCAGCAAACATTGTAGAAATAGAGGGGTGAGTGAGAGTGTGTGTGTGTGTGTGTGTGTGTCAGGGGTGGGGGGGTGGGAGAAGAAAACTGAAAGCTGTACTGATGATACACAGTTATCACAGTAAAGGAAGCTTGGGAACCTCAAAGAGGAGAGAAAGGACCAAAATGCCTAGTGGAGCATGAAGATTCACTCATAAGAAGATGCTTTCACAGGGTGAATGGCTCAGGTGACTAGTTAAATTTTATACTTGAGACAAACAAACAAAAGAGTTGGAGAGTGTCAGTGGCTTTTGTTCTTTCTCCTAGAACCTCCAAAATACTGCTTGGGTTCTTTCCATTTGTCCATGGTCTGGAACCTGGATATGACCAAACATGGTGATGGCCCTGGGAAGGGTAACTCAATGCAAAGTCCTGGTTTGGTCTGAGGTTGGAGAACAAAGGCACCCCTTTCTTTACAGGATTTGGGCACACAAGGAATGAACTCCTGACTCTCCCTCCTCTCTAGGGAGCAGTTTTGTGCTTAGAAAACCATTGGCCTGAGGGACTCATGCAGCTCCAACTTTGTGGACTCTGACATGATAGGAATCCTGAAGAGTGTGGGTATCTTCCTCCTAGACATGGCTAGAGCAAGTGCCTTCTAGAATTTCTGGGATATTCTTCTTTTTACAAAATGATCATAGTATCTTCATAAAACACAATCCGTAAACTGATTTTTAAAAAGCAGCATTTTGGGGAACACATTCTGACAAGAGTTAATTCTCCTTAAATAATCATTGTGACAGGTTGCTGTTGATCGTAAGAAGTTGATTCTTTTTCAGACAGTAGTTGAATAAAAGTGTTTTCATTATACTTTGGGAATAGGTGCTCTATGCTGACTTATTTTATTCAATCTTTTGATTCCTACAGGTGACTTCAGATACCGTATAACTTCAGGAGAGAAAGGTAGAGATAGCACTAGTAAGTTTTCAACAGTAGTCATAACAAATGGTTTTGACTCCTTTCTGACACCTTACTAGCTGTGTAACCTTGGGAAAGTTACTTAACTTCTCTATTCCTTAGTTTCTCATCTATAAAATGGGTACAGTAATAATACCTTTTAAGAAACTGTGTTTTTTTTTTAAATCTATTTAAAGTCATATTTTATGTGATTTCATTACTTTTCTTTTTTTTTTTTTTTTTTTTTATAGAGGCATGTTTTTATTTATTTATTTATTATATTTGTTTGTTTTGTTTATACATGCACTGGGTACAGTCAGAAGCACGGGAGGGTGAGAGAATTCACCAGAGCCAGAGCGGGGAGCAGAGCAGGCAGAAGGGCTGAAGTACACTGCTGAGGGGAGCAGCGGGTGGCAGGAGAGGTCTGCGCACCATGTGGGATCCTCCTCTGGTGGCCGGGGAGCAGCCGGGGAGCGAACCGGCGCCGCAGAGGCCGCGGGCAGCTTCGCAACCCAGCGCTCAACCGCTGCGCCACCGGGAAGGCCCTGATTTCATTACTTTTCTATAGGATTTCATAACTTTCTTATTTTATTCCATTTTAGTATATCTTTTCTCTTCTTCCTTTGTGTCCAAATTACTTTCATTCATATTCTCTTTCTCATTGGGTCTTACGAGCATAAACTATACCTATATCTGCACACCACTTAAAATAGGGACTTTGTAATGTTAACTTGCATATAAAATGGAAGGTTTAGGTAATTTAGTGAATCTGGACAGCATCTACAGTGAAGGATATCAATTACATTCTTAAAAAGGTTCAACTGAGCTGAATATTAGACCTCAGACTGACATTCAACATTTCCCATACATCAGGCTGATTCACCTTTTTAATCCTCTCTTCTCCTACAATTAAGTAAGTCCTGGGAGGCTGGACATATCCTGCATTTTCCCATACTTATACTTTTGTGGGTGTAGCACTTTCTCTCTGGAGTTTGCCTTTCCCACTCCTCCCCTCCCCCAGCTCTCCCTCTTGAAATCATGGTACTGCAGATGTTTTCTCACTCATTAAGAGAGATTTATTTTATTTTTGCCATCTATGTTCAAGCCCTGATCCAAATGTGACCACTTCATGAATTACAGAGTCTTCGAGCAGGAAGAGCTATTAAAGACTAAGTGGTCTAATTTCCCTTTAAGTAAGGCTGGGACAAGAGTGTGATTTGCCCAAAGACACCAAGTTACAGCTTGGATTATAGTTTATGCCTCTGCAGTGAAGGCTGAGAGCAAATCCTCCACCCTGTTAGTCCTCCTCTTCTTTCTAGTTGGGACTTGACTGGTCTCCTTGGAGCTACAGTACCTACAGCACTCCTCACACAGCCTCTTGAGTTACAGCCATTGGGATACACGTCTTATCTCCCCAGCATATCTCATTCACTTTGGACACCTCCATCTCTACCCTGGGGGTCCTGGAACAGAGCCTGTATAACCAGGAGGCACTTAGTAAACATTTGTTGAGTTAACATATGAATGAATGTTAAAAAAGGAGTTAACCTTTCCCATCCCATTGACTCACACTGCTATAGTCTCAAAGTTCTTTCTCGCCCAACTGTTAAAATTGAACCATCCATTCCAGGTCACAATAAATAAATGCTTCCACATTCACAGAAAAGCTAACAGAAATTAAATGCCATTGTATTTTATACGTATGCACTAACTCCTTAGTTTAGAAAAGGTTCTGAGCACTGTGAGTATTTCACTGCAAACTGTGTCCAGGAATGCTTGGGACAGTAATTTATCAAAGAAGTAGAAGACCAATCCCTGTATTCTGATTGGCTGCAATCTATTGAGAAGATGAAGATGTGTGTGTGTGTGTGTGTGTATAAAACATAACTAGAGAAAGCACATATATGATAATGAAGGCAAGTGGCACAAAAAGAGATGCAGGGAGACTAAGCAGGAGTAGATATCAGATGAAGTGTGTCTTATGCTGTCTCTTTCATGAGTCTCCAATTTGAAAATTAAACCCAATACTTCAGATGTAGCTCCCTCTATCACATATTTTCTTTACTCAGTAATTGGAGGGTAGCCTTCTTTTCCTTCCCTATGCAAGTTTTAGTTTCTGACCAAAGTTTCACTGAATAGCATTACCTATGTACTTTTCTAGCTGGAAATAGGAATGGTGATAATACACGAGCAATTCTTAATTTTTAAAAGTGCTTATATGTACCTCTTCCTATCCTTTCTCCCCTCAAAAAAATTCAGGAGGGAAGTACCAAGTGCACACCATACCTTAAATACACATGTGATGCAAAACAGCCGCACATCAAATTTGCAACGATGTTCTACTTTATTCTGGAATCTCTCTTCATGAATTTCCAGAAGGTGGAAATCAGAGGAAAGGCAAATCTCTTATAATATCCTGCTTATTTACTTGATACATTAATCACAATCTGTGATTATTATTCTTTTGGTCTCCCCAGGAGAATGCAAAACCTCCTGAGGAAAGGAACTTTATCTATCTGGTTCTTTTCATTGTAGTCACTCAATTAGAAATTGCTGAATAAGGGCCTCCACGGTGGCGCAGCGGTTGAGCGCTGGGTTGCGAAGCTGCCCGCGGCCTCTGCGACGCCGGTTCGATCACCGGCTGCTCCCCGGCCACCGGAGGAGGGTCCCACATGGCGCAGACCTCTCCTGCTGCCCGCTGCTCCCCTCAGCAGTGTACTTCGGTCCTTCTGCCTGCTCTGCTCCCCGCTCTGGCTCTGGTGAATTCTCTCACCCTCCCGCGCTTCTGACTGTACCCAGTGCTTGTATAACCAACCAAACAAAGAAACAAATAAAAAAAAAAAATGCCTCTATAAAAAAAAAATAAATAAATAAACAAATAAATAAAAAAACTTTAAAAAAAAAAAGAAATTGCTGAATAAATAAATGAATGAGTGATCAACAATACTATTTTTATTAAGGGACTAGGTCATAATGATAAAATAGACTAGTGAACAGACCTCCTAGTGTAGAACTGATTAGCTATATTTTTACCCATTTATTATGCCAGGAAGGATGTCCTTTTTTTTTCAATAAAGATTTATTTTTATTTAGCTATGCATATAAGAACTGGGATGCAGGCCAGAGGTGCAGGGGGTGAGAGGATTCACCAGAGACAGAATGGAGAGCAGAACAGGCAGATCTACTGAAACACACTGCTGAGGGGAGCAGCAGCGGGCAAGACAGAAGACATCTGCTGCACCACATGGGTTAGCTCCCTGGTCGGGGATCGAACTCATGCCTCAGTGGCTGACGATAGCATGATAGCACTGAGACTTTAACCTCTGTGTCACTAAGGATGCCCTCCAGGAAGGATGTTCTACAGAAGAAGAAGTTGTGCTAGTCCTTCAATTACTGATTACAAGCTCTGTGTAGGTTACTGCATTATGAACTCCAGATGATAAGTTTAAGATATAGTCCTTTCCTCCACTTGACTGGAGCAGTATGACAGTAATACGAGACAGTAAAGACAAATTCAGAGTAAGTGGTACAGTCACACGTATTCTTGGTCAGAGCAGGAGAAACTGCCTTAGGTTGGTGTGATCAGGAAGGGCTGTCTGGGAGAGGTGGGTTTTAAGCTGATGTTAAGTTGAATTTCTATCAATAAAAAGGGCTGGAATTTTTTAAAAACTTATGTAATTTTAATATTCCTCACATATCCCATGTTTAGGTAAGTTTAATTAAAGAACAGAAATACTTTGAGATCTTCCAGTAGACAGCAGTTAGCTTGTCAAAGCACAATAGGTCTCTTAGACGATTGGGCCGCCCCATAGCAGGTTTTTAATGGCTTTATATATGTTTAATCACATTCACTTGGTCTTGCACTGTCAGCTTCAGTCCCATTAGAATTTAAAAGGTCAAGTTTCAAAAGCCTAAAAAAGTGATTTAGAGTAGAAATGCCAACTTAACCTTACCCACAGCTAAGCTAAAGCTGTAATAGTATTGAAAATTGTACCTCGTATAAATGTATGACTGAAATAGGAAGATTAAAACTTCATCATTCTTTCCTGAGGTTATATTTTTAAAAAATTTAGTCAAATTTAAAATCACAATTTGGATTTTACTAAAAATTATGGCTCACTGATAACTGTTGACACATATTGCTTATCTGGGAGAGCACAGAGGCCTCATAAGCGCCTGAGAAAGGAGACTAGGTAGACCTAACAACATGGAAAGGGAGCAATCTTTTGAAAATGACACAGATTTGTTACAGCTCTGAAGGGCAAGAGAGGACCTTAGGAGCATTTTCTAAAGCTTGCTGGTGGGAGCTATTGCTTTTTACTGGAACCATCACACCCAGGGCCTCTCACCTTCACGATGCTACTATTTAAACATCTTCTGCCTTTTCAAGGATTCCTTGATTACAATTTTATAATATGCTTTGCATTAAAATGACTTCAAATTGTTTTAATTTATTGTCATTTGAGTGATAGCTCTTTTTTTTTCTTTCTCTTCCTAGAAAGAGAGATGGTTTTTTAAACTGCCCCTTTTCAATAATAGAAATGTCAGAAATTAGCCTAAATGCCCAGTGCTCTCCTGTTTTTAAAAAACAGATTTTGGGGGGAAATTATTATTTTAAATCACTATTCTTTATTCTAGTAACCATCTCTATTACATAACTCCATCTATCAGGAATTATAGTTTCATTTCTGATACTTCCACACCTGCAGATATATAGGGGATTAAAAAGTGGATCAAGAAATGTCACTATAAAGCAAGCAGAGTCCTGAGGGAGAGGGCCTAGGAGACAAGTAACTTAGTATAAACGGAAGGTGCCAAATGGTAATAAAACCAAAATGGGAAGTCATGAAAATAAAATAACTATGCATTAAAAATATATTTGGACCAGCTCCTCTGTGCTGGTGTTTTGTAATATTAACTGTTTAAACCTGCTTAAAATGAGAGCTTTGAGTTCTCAAAATCCTTTAATTCGGTTAAACATCCGCTACCCTGAAAGGGCTCCACAGAATCCCATAAAACAT